ACTGATCATGCTAAGGTTGTTGTAGATTTTGTCAAATCCCACATTTTCTCCAGGTTCGGAATGCCCAGGGCGATAAGAAGTGACCGAGGCATTCACTTTTGCAACCGAGTGGTGGAAGCTCTATTCAAGAAATACAATATCACCCATCGAATTTCCACTGCATACCACCCACAAACAAGTGGACAAACCGAAGTGTCCAACAGGGAGATAAAATCCATACTTGAAAAAATGGTTGACCCTAGAAGGAAGAATTGGAGTCTGAGACCCAATGATGCACTATGGGCCTACCGAACAGCCTATAAAACTCCTATAGGTATGTCTCCCTACCGTTTGGTATTCGGCAAACCTTGTCATCTCCCTGTGGAACTGGAACATAAAGCATACTGGGCGGTCAAACAATGCAACATGCGCATGGATGAGGCAGGAGAACAGAGGAAGTTGCAGCTACAAGAACTAGAAGAGATCCGCAATGACGCTTATGAGAGCTCTCGAATCTACAAGGAAAAGACAAAAGCCTTCCATGACAAGACGATCTCAAGGAAAGATTTTDCAGTTGGCYAGAAAGTTCTTCTTTTCCATTCTAGGCTTAAACTCTTTCCCGGTAAGTTGCGATCTCGGTGGGTTGGACCTTTCACTGTTACTAACATCTTACCTTATGGAGCAGTTGAGATTCAGAGTCTGACCACAGACAAAAGGTTCAAGGTAAATGGGCACCGCCTAAAACCCTTCTATGAAGGATTTCAGGTATACAATGTGGAAGAAGTACCCCTCGAAAGTCCGACCTATGTAGAGTAAGGGCATGAAACTCTGTCTCCCCACCCACCTTCCACCGCCCAGGGAAGTTTGTTCCTTTTCTTTTTTTCTCTCCATTCCCTTTTAAGCTAGTCCTAAATTCAGGTTTAAGTAAACATGGCAAATACTTTACCATTGCTACAATTGGCAGGATGGACCATAAAATGCACCTACCAGCCAAGTCATCTGATAGTAGGACGGAGCATAAAATGCACCTACTAGGTAGTAATTCAAACAGTAGGATGGAGCATAAAATGCACCTACTGACCAAYYARTTCAAAYAGTAGGATGGAGCATAAAATGCACCTACTGACCAAGTAATCCAAAAGTGAGATGGAGCATAAAATGCACTCGCTTCTTCAGAAGAGAGAAAAAGAAAATAAAAGAGAGAGAAGATAAAAAGGTTTTCCCTGATTTACTACCTGGTTTGTAGTAGCAAAAATTGGATTGGCTGATGAATGAGTCGTGTATGACTCGGTTGTGTTGATTTAACGATTCACAATAATTAACCTAGAATATTTGTAGAGAAAGACGAATGAGAGTTGAGTTTTAAAATTGGTAGGATAGCTAGTTTTTTTTTGTTCTATTTTTACTTGAAGTTTGACTTGCCCGAGGACGGGCAAGGTTTAAGTGTGGGGGAATTTGATAAGAATATAATTTGTCTTATGTTTGTCCCTCAATATTCAGTATTTTACACTTAATTGGTACCTAATTGGACTCATTACTTTTGTATTTCGATTCAGGGCAAGCAAGAAGGCGATTGGAAGAAAACAAGGCTAATCGGATGTTTTTGCACAGTTTCGGCACCGATCCATGATATGGGCATAATTCTCAATTCCGGACTTCGATTTGGATATTTCAAGAAGCACTGGAAAGATATAGAAAAGGCCCACAACTTTTATGTTTTGGCTTTGTGCAGAATCGGTCCACATCGAAGACGAATTCGGGCCCAAAGTCGGAGCAATTTCGCAGCAAGGCCCATTTCGCAAGCTGAAGCCCATTTTGCAGAGAGTCTTGAAGCAAACCCGAATTGTTAAAGAAACCCAGTTTGAATTCAACATCCAAGAGTCCCATTAGAATAGAAGTTGAATGTAATCTCAATAAAAGAGTTTTATCAGATTTAAATTCTCAAATTGTAATCCTATAAAGATAAGAGATAAGAGTTAGATAGGATAAGTTCAAATTAGACTAGGACTTTCCAGTTTGAGGATAATCTCCTTAAGGGAGTTGGAGAGCA